GGACTCAATTTGCACTATTTCTGGCAGTCTGCAAAGGCCTGTAGTCTGCTGACTCACTGCAGAATTAATGCAGTTTGACACCACTTTAACTGCCATGGCTCCATCCTATGGAATCGTGGGGTTTGTAGTTTGCTGTGGTCCCAGAGCTCTCTGGCAGAGAAAGCTAAATCTCTCCCAGAATTCCATAGCATTGAGCCAGGGCAGTTGAAGTGGTGTCAAACAGTATGATTTTTGCAGTGGAGATGCTGTACAGAACTATAAAAAAAGGTGCTGAATCTGCTTAGGTTGGACAAAGCTCAGCACTTTGGACAGCTCCTTTAAGCTTAAACCAAAAAACCAGAAGCAGATTCATTGCTCCAATGACATGGAAGCCACCAATTTCCTTTGGGTATAACTAAGAAACATTATGAGCCGGCATGGCATAGTGGTTCGAATCTTTTGGACTATGACTTTGGAGATGAAGGTTCGAATCCCACCTCAGCTATGAAACCCATCAGGTGACCTTGGGTAAGTTACACTCTCTCAGCCTCAGGGAGAAGGCAATGTCAAACCTCCTCTGAACAAATCTTGCCAAGAAAACCTTAGGATCGCCATAGTCAGAAATGACTTGAAGGCACACAACTCACACAAGAAACATAACGTGTGAAGAGAAGGGGACCTTGTGTGTGTATGTGTCTTTCAGTCATCTGTTAATTTATTGTGACCCCAAGAATTTCACAGGAATTTGTTACTCAAGGAATCCTCAGAGATAGTTTTGTCAGTTCCTTCCTCTAAAATAGCGCCTACAGCACCTGGTAGTCCTTGGTGGTCTCCCACCCAAGTACTAACTAGGGCTGATCCTGCTTAGTTTCCAAGATCAGAGGGGTTCTGGTGCCTTTATGGTATTTAAGCAGGTGTGTGTATGTTTGTGTGTGCATGCCTTCAACTCACCTGTCGACTTATGGTGACCCCATGAAATCTACCCTATAGTACCTGGTTTTCGTTGGCAGTCTCCTATCCAAGGGTCAGGTGCCTTTAGGGTATTTAAACCTGTTTGATTATGTACCTTTCAGGTCACTGCATCAATTCTGGCAACCCCATGCATTTCATAGGGTTTTCTTAGGCAAGGGATACTCAGAGGCTGTTTTCCCAGTTCCTTCCCCTGAAATATAGGCTCTAGTACCTGCTATTCATTGGTAGTCTTCCATCCAAGTACTAACCAGGGCTAACCCTGCTTAGCTTCCAAGATCAGACTCAGATCTGGTACCTTGTCTCTCTCTCTCTCTCTCTCTCTCTCTCTGTGTGTGTGTGTGTGTGTGTGTGCCTTCAAGTCCACTTATGGCAACCCCATGAATTTCATAAGGTTTTTCTTAGGCAAGGGATATTCAAAGACCATTTTGCCAGTTCCTTCCCCTGAAATATAGGCTACAGTACCTGCTATTCATTGGTGGTCTTCCATCCAAGTACTAACCAGGGCTGACCCTGCTTAGCTTCCAAGATCAGACTCAGATCTGGTACCTTGTCTGTGTGTGTGTCTTCAAATCCACTGATGGCAATCCCATCCATTTCATAGGGTCTTTTTAGGTAAAGAATACTCAGAGGTAGTTTTGCCAGTTCCTTCCCCTGAAATATAGGCTCTAGTACCTGCTATTCATTGATGGTCTTCCATCCAAGTACTAACCAGGGCTGACCCTGCTTAGCTTCCAAGATCAGACTGGGATCTGGTACCTTTAGTATATATATATATATATATGTGCGTGTGTGTATGTGCCTTTAAGTCCACTGATGGCAACCCCATCCATTTCATAGGGTTTCCTTAGGCAAGGGATACTCAGAGGTGGTTTTGCCCGTTCCTTCCTCTGAAACAGATCCTCCAGCACCTGGCGTTCCTTGGTTGGTCTCTCACCCATGTACTAACCAGGGCTCGCCCTGCTTAGCTTGTGCACCTTCAAGTTGACTTATGTCTCTGGGGTTTTCTTAGGCAAGGGCTCCTCTCAGGTGGCTTTGCCTTTCTCTGAACCCTTGGGTAGGGCTTAGCATCCAACACCAGAGTGGATTAGTTATTTTGCTGCAGTTTAATACCAGTTATCTGAGAGATCTCTAGGTTTGGAGGAAGGAAGTTTGTACCTGATATGTTCTCTTTCTCCCTCTCTCTCTCACACATGCAAATATAATATACAATAGAATTCTCTCTCTGCTCCTCTGCCTTGCTCTTTCTCTCTGTACAAAGCAAGAAAAGGATGCTGGGGTCCTTCTTCTTCTTCTTCTTCTTCCTCCATGGAGAGATGATGTGGTGGAGCTAAGAGGATGATGCTCATCCTTCTCCAGTGCTTCCCTCTTTCCCCCATTGGCTCTGCCTTGGTGACAGGAGGAGGCTTTGTGTCTTTATAAAAAGAGGCACAGGTTGCAAAAGCAAAGGATCTGAGCTGCCAAGCCAAAGAGGGGGTCCCTTCCTTCCAGTGACCCCCCAAAAGAAAACAGCCTGGAGAGAAAGAGCATCCAAGAAGAGGAACTTTGCAAAGGCAGAAACTCAGAAGAGGGAGGAGGAAAAAAGAAAAAGAGAAACCCCACCTGCAGCCACACAACTGCCAAACAGAACTGGGACATTTTGCAGAGTTTGGGAGCTCTTTGGGCAGGTAAGTTGGTATACTTCATTAATAACAGTACTGTTTAATAGTGATGTTCAAGCATAGCAATGATACTTCAAAGGTAATAGCTGTGTTACAATACCTAGGGAATGGAGCATACTGGAAAAACAAAAAAAGGTGCACAGGTTATATGGACACTATGGCGAGAGATCTTGTAGCACCTTTAAGACTCACTGAAAGAAAGAAAGAAAGAAAGAAAGAAAGAAAGAAAGAAAGAAAGAAAGAAAGAAGTTGGTAGCAGGAGCTTTCATAGACTTCACCCTGCTTCTTCAGATGCATATTATTATTATTATTATTATTATTATTATTATTATTAGGTATAGACATGTTTGTAGAGTCAGTCTGTAGTTAGATCTGAAAGAAAGAAGTTGGCAGCATGAACCTCCCTAGACTTCAGTCTACTTCCTCAGATGCACATTATTATTATTATTATTATTATTATTATTATTATTATTATTATTATTAGGTATAGCCATGCTTGTAGAGACAGTCTGTAGACAGATCTTGTAGCACCTTTGAGACTCACTGAAAGAAAGAAGTTGGCAGCATGAGCTTCCCTAGACTTCAGTCTACTTCCTCAGATGCGTTTGGAAGACTGAATAAATTGACTTTAGTCTAGGAAAGCTCCTGCTGCCAACTTCTTTCTTTCAGTGAGTCTCAAAGGTGCTACAAGATCTCTCTGCGTACCTAACACGGCTGTATCTTTGAATTCTACTGTATATTATATTATGGAAATTTAAACAATAAAAAATAGAGAAAAAATTATAAACATTACAGGAAGATAAAAATATGTCAGAAACAAACCAGTTTGATAGGAAGAGGAAGCCAGCTTTATGTTTTGTTTTTAGTTTAGATTCAATAGGTTAGGTGTCATGGTGTCTATTTGTAGGCGTGTAGTTTCACAAGTTTATGTTTGTCAATGTTTGTTATCTGTTATAACTGTTATAAGTGTTCTATGTTTAATAAAATATTATAAATAGGGGAAAAAAGAGAGAGAGAGCCATGTTAGTCTGTAGAATCATGCAGAGTATCTTATAGCATCTTTGAGGCTTAGTGAAAGAAAGAAGCTGTAAACTTAAGGTCCAACACACACTGCAGAAATAATCCAGTTTGAGACCGCTTTAACTGCCCTGGCTCAGTGCTAGGGAATCCTGGGAATTGTACTCTATTGTGACACCAGAACTCTTTGACAGAGAAGGCTAAATGTCTCAGAAAACTACAATTCCTAGAATTCTCTAGCACTGAGCCAGGGCAGTTAAAGCGGTCTCAAACTGGATCATTTCTGCAATGTGTTTTGGACCTTAAGTCTACTTCCTCAGATGCATTTGGAGTAATAATAATAGCTATTGTTGTGCTGTGCCTTCCAGTTGTTTCCGACTTAAGGAGATCTTAAAGTGGTGAACCTATCATGGGTTTTTCTTGGCCAGATTTATCCTGATGTGGTTTGCCATCACCACCCTCTGAGGCTGAGAGAGTGTGACTTGCCCAAGGGAGATCCTAAGGTGAACCTATCATGGGTTTTCTTAGTAACTTTCTTCAGAGGGGGTTTGCCATTGCCAACCCCTAAGGCTGAGAGAGTGTGACTTTTGCCCAAGGTTACCCAGTGGGTTTTCATGGCAGAGCCAGGATTCGAACCCTGGTCCCCAGAGTCCTAGTCCAATGCACAAACTACTACACCACGTTGCCTCTCATAATAGGAAAAATAAAGACATAAAATAATAATTAGATATTACTATTAATAGTAATAATAGCAATATTTAATTTATTTTTAAAGTTTCTGTAATCAGTGTTTTAGTTTTCTCTTTTGAAATTGTCATAAGCTGCTTTGAATCCTGTTGGGAGAAAGGCGAGATATAAATCCCCTAACTAAAATAAAATAAAAACAAGTTCTTCCACTCTTTCTGGGCAAATGACTTTTTCTGAGGGTCTCTCTTTTCCCAAAAGGACTACACACCTCATTTATGTAATAGTCTTGCAATATTCCTCTTTTTAAAGAAATGCCATTGATTTGCATTGTTGTCAGCTTGGCTTTTGCCATTAGCAACCACCACCATTGGTTTGGTTCCACACCGGCATTTTTGTTCTTTTGATAAGATGTTCAAAGTAGACAAAAGGAAACAAAAATGACACGCCGACAATAAGCATTTTACATCTCTTTCCCCCCTATTTCCTAGCAATGGGTTTTGTACTTTAAAATTCCTCTGGATGGTATATTTACGACACTTCTATGCTGGCATCGGGGGGAAATTTTAAGCTTCCAGCCAAAGGCTAAGATCCATCTTATTTTTGCATACTGCAAAGTTTCAGGCTAATGGAAAAGAGACAGAATTATCCATATATATATATATATATATATATATATATATATTCAGGAAAATTATCCATATATATATATATATATATATATTCAGGAAAAGTTTTTAAAAAACTCTTCAATAAACCCTGGCACCAAAAACTCTTCTGCTTCTCTCTATTCCAATTGTTACTTTTAAACTATGGACAAATTTGATTGAACAGTTGTGTGTTGTGTGAGAGGATATATGGGGAAGATACAGACCATGTGTGTGTTTATCTGTGTGTGTTTCTTGTGTATTCACTGTCAATAAGTGAAGAGAGCCAGCAGGATGGGTGGTTTTAGTGTTGGGCTAGGATCAGGGTTCGAATTTCCATTCAGCTATGGAAACCCATTGAGTATCCTTAGACAAGTCACACCCTCTCATCTTTACAAGAAGGCAAGGCAAATCATCAATGAATAAATCTTGCCAAGAAACCAATAGGACAGGGTCACCATAAATCCACTTGAAGGCAAATGACATGAACCAAAGTAAGTCAGAACCTCTGCAAACGGTCTTTTATTTAATGTGATTCAGTGTGGTGGAGTGGTTTGAGTATTGGGCAGGAACTCTGGGAGATCAGGGTTCGAATCCTCATACAGCCATGGAAACCTATTGGATTACCTTGGTGAGTCACATTCTCTCATCCTCAGTGGAAGGCAATGGAAACACATTGGGAGACCTTGGACCAGTCAAACTCTCTGAGCCTTAGACAACACAACAACAACACATATTAAATAGCCATATGAGAGCCAGCATGGTGTAGTGGTTTGAATGTTGGACAAGGACTCTGGGAGTTTGTTGCTGTTGTTTGTTTTCTTGACAAGTTTCTTCAGAGGGGTTTGCCATTGCTGTCCTCTGAGGCTGAGAGAGTGTGACTCCTGCCCAAGGTCATCCAGGGGGTTTCATGATTGAGTGAGGATTTGAACCCTGGTCTCTAAAGGTCCTAGTCCAGCACTCAACCCACACCATGGCAGCTCTATCAAATCCCTGTTCAAACCCACTGGGAGACCTTGGGCACAGCAAACTTTCTCTGAATAAATCTTACTGAGAAAAGCCTGCGAGAGAGAACCAGAGTGGTGTAGTGATTTGATTTGTTGGCCAAGGGGGACCAGGGTTCGAATCCTCACTCAGCCATGGAAACATCGGACAAATCGACTTGAAGGTACGCAGCAGCAAAGAAGACTCCAAGGGCACGATCCAGCCAAAATGAAGCTCCCTAAAATGCCACTGATTTCAAATGCATGCTTATGAGATCTCTGCAACTTTAGCAGTTCACTTTCATATACACTTTGCTAGGAAGCAAACCCATGATCTCAGTGGGTCTGGTTGTTGTTGTGTGCCTCCAAGTCATTTTTGTACTTATGGCGGCCCTAAGGCGGCCCTATCACAGGGTTTTCTTGGCAAGTTTCTTCAGAGGGGGTTTGCCATTGCCATTCTTTGAGGCTGAGAGAATGTGATTGGCCCAAGGTCACTCAATAGGTTTTTATACGAAAGCAGGGAATCAAACCCTGATCTCCAGAGTCGTAGTCCAACACTCAAACCATTACACTGTGGGTCTTACGTCTGAGCAGAACTGTGTAGGATTGCTCTCTACCTCTGCCTAGAACTTGCTTGTTCTCTAATTCTATTAAGAGTATTGTTTCCAAAGCCATGGAAATAATACATTGCAACTGACTTGGGGTTGATTATTAGAAGTGTGTAAATCAGGGGTAGGCAACTTAAGACCCGGGGGCCGGATGCCGCTGCCGCCGCCGCCGCCCGCCATGATGATATTGATTATTGTTGTTGTTACTTGTTCTTGGGGTTTTCTTGGCAAAATCTCCACAGCGGTTTTGCCATGGCTTTTCTGGGGCTGAGAGAGTGTGCATGCATATTTTTTAATTTTTTAAAAAAGATTATTTATTTATTTATTTATTTATTTATTTTTGGCGCTTCGGCCCCCCAATTGTCTGAGGGACAGCAACCCGGCCCTCGGCTCAAAAAAGTTGCCTACCCCTGGTATAGATGAAGAGGAATGAAGCCAGTTTAGAAGGGTGCCTTCAGCATCATCCATTGGGAAGATCCTCTGCCCATGTTTCATTGCAAGGAACTTGTCTAATTCATTTCAGCAAGGCTTCTACAAGAGATTTTTCCCAACAGAATTGTGCATTTTGTTCATTGGAAAAAATGAGGGTGGGAGGCTAGAAACAAAAAAAGACAAGGAGAAAGTTACTTGTTTTCTGTTAGAATTTTTTTTAGGGAGCTTTTCAATCATTTGAGGGCATCTACTAATCCCGGACAGAAGGGATTGTTGGAAGGCAGCAACAGGCAGATACGCAATTACAAGTCAGAGAATACTTTTCTCTCTTTAGGGGAATTTGACTTGGGATGGGATGGGGAAGATCCAATCCTTGTATGGAGACGACTGCAGCTTGTCATGCTGCATTTTTAACACTGAAATTATAATAATTAATAACCTGCTCAGGGCAGAATGCATAGAGAGACATTGTCCTACAACTGGTTTACATGAGATAATTTTCCAGTATCTGACGCCACCTCTGTGTACAGCATCTTCCACCAGCGGTCTTTAAAAATCTCTTTGAAATGTCAAGGAACGAAGCTATAATCTGGTTCAAGTGGTGGTATTCATAGCAGATTTATTTCTGGATTCACCCCCTCCATGACTCCCCATTATTTCTTCATTTGCACTAGTTACACACTCAGTGCTGTTTGTGCGTCTAGCTAAGGAGAGACAATTTTCCTCACAAATGACTTTAGAAAGAAGGCACCCTTCGGATGAAGAGCTAGCATGGAGCCTTTTAACTTGGGGGGGGGGGGGGGGAGAATGGAAAGATCCCTTTGCTCCAATTCCATCTGTCCAGAAATTCATTTGACACAATTCAAGGCAGAGGGAAAATCTATCAGCAACTGTTATCCATGTTAACTATATAGAGTCTGTATGTTCAGGAGCAGTCTACCTCTGAATGGTACCATTGGGGATGAAATAAAGGCAGAGACTGCTGCAAACGTCCTGCTTTGCTTATGGACTTACCCAAAGAATTGTACTGATTATTGTTATAAATGGGATGCTCAAACACATGGACCAGGGCTAGGAAAGTTTCCTTTTTGGGGCTACTGCTCCCAGAACCCCCCTGACAGATTCAGGGAGTTGTAGTCTAGAAAAAGAAGACATCCAAGTTCAGATTTTAACCCCTGGAACCCACTAAAGGCTCTATTTTCCCAAGGTAGATCCCATGGACAGCCAAAAGGACAAACAAATGGGTCCTAGAACAGATCAAGCCAGAAATATCCCTAGAAGCCAAGATGACAAGACTGAGACTGTCGTACTTTGGACACATCATGAGAAGGCATGAATCATTGGAAAAGGGAATAATGTTAGGAAAGGTGGAAGGAAGTAGAAAGAGAGGAAGGCCGCATGCTAGATGGATGGATTTCATGAAAGAGACCATAAATATGAGTTTGCAGGAGCTGGGCAGAGCAGGAGAGGACAGCGGGGCCTGGAGATGTCTCATCCATAGGGTTGCCATGGGTCGAAATCGACGCGAAGGCAGTTAACAACAACAACAACAAAGATGTTAGCTTCCATGTCAGTGGGACAGAGGATCCACTTCATATTTGGGTTAAATGTTAATAGAAGATATCTCCAACCCTCAAACAGGTTCAGCATTTTGGCTCTCTCTTTAAAGTTCAGATGGAAATCCAGAGTGGATTCACTACTCCAGTGAGATGGAACCCACAAGTTCTGACCTCTCCTTTCTCTGAAGTCTGGATATGAGGCAGCAATGTGATGCAGCAGCTAAAAAAGCCAATGTGATTCTAGGCTGCATCAATAGGAGTACAGTGTCTAGATTGAGAGAAGTAACAGTACCACTCTGTTCTAATTTGGTCAGACCTCACCTGGAATAATGTGTCCAGTTCTGGGCACCACAATTTGAGAAAGATGTTGACAATCTGGCACATCTGGGGGAGGGCGACCAAAACGGTGAAAAGTCTGGAAACCCAAAGCTCTCTGAGGAGCGACTTAGGAAGCTGGGCATGTTTAGCCCGGGGAAGAGAAGATTAAGGGGTGACATGATAGCCCTGTTTAAATATTTGAAGGAATGTCATATTGAGGCTGAAGCAAACCTGTTTTCTGCTGCTCCAGAGGAAATGGAAACTCCATGAAAAAAGATTCCAACTCAACATTATGAACTTCTTAATGTTAATAATAATAATAAGAGCTGTTTGGCAGTGGAACACACTCCCACAGAGGGTGATGGAGTCTCCTTCTTTGGAGATTTTTAAACAGAGGCTGGATTTAACAGAAATTGTATTTAATATATTTTTTAATAGGGGGGTATTATTGTTTATTGTCGGGGTTTGTATCCGTTTTAGCTGTAAGCCGCTTTGATTGCTACGGCAAAAGGTAGGGTAGAAATAAAATTATTATTATTATTATTATTATTATTAAACTGTTGAGGGTGCTTTGACTGTGTTTTCCTGCATGGCAGAATGAGGTTGCACTGGATGGCCCTTGGAGTCTCTTCCAGCTCTAGGATTCTATGCTTCTAAAGAAGTTGTGTGCAGAGAAATTCCACAGACCTTAGCAAGATACCCTTTGGACAAAGTTGGGCTGCTATCTGCTCCTCTGGCTGATGACTGCAGCCTTCTTTGCTTTCTTCTCTATCCTGCTTTTGAATGAAAGGGCTGGAGCAGCCCAGTGATAGAATAACTGCTTTGCACCCAGAAGGCCACAGATCCAGTCCCTAGGGCTGAGAGAGGCTCCTTTCAGATGGCTTGGAGGCTTTTTACCAGTCAATCTAGTATACAATATTCAGTTTGATGCTCCATTGGCCTCCGGCGCAGCTGGTGGCTTCTGTGTGAATGAGATGCTCAATCTGTTCTGGGTTTTAATCTGACTTTTAAAAAGGAGCTACTCAAGGTGTGGCACCTTGGCACAGACTTTCCATGGTGGTGGAACTGCATGTGCCTATTCTCCTATGAGGCACAAGGAAAGACAGTGTGGCGTAATAGTTTGAGCGCTGGACTATGACTCTGGAGACCAGGGTTCGAATCCCCACTTGGACATGGAAATGCACTGGGTGACCTTATGCTACTCACACTCTCTTAGCCTTGGAGGAAGGCAGTGCCAAACCGCTTTATGAACAAATCTTGCCAAGAAAGCCCCATGAAAGGTTTGCTTTAGGGTCACCAAAAGTTGGAAACATCTTGAAGGCACACAACAAGAAATAAGATAAGAGGCTATGGAGATGATAACACTGCTCCTGTCTCAAGTCCAACAGGCTTTTGTTGAGGAGCTAATGTGTCAAACACTGGAGAGCAGCAGTAGCGGGGGGTTACACTGGTGGAGAGTTTCCCAGAGACAACGAGAATGGCACCATAGCTGCTAATAATCCTTGTTAGTACTCAGAGACACAGCTGTGTCAGTCTGGAATATCAGTATGCAAAGGGAGCTTGTAGCATCTTTGAGACTGAGCAAAAGACATTGTGGGATAACTAGTAGACATAGGGCCTCTGCAGACTGGCCCAAAGGGATGGCTTGGGGCTGGAGTTGGGGTGGGGCAGCCGCACACCTGGCGCTGTCCTGATGCCGCTGCACCGGAAAGGGCGAGGAAGAGCCATGTGTTGGCTCTTAGGGCAGCCTTTTGCTGCCCCTAAAAGGAGCGGCATTTTGTGGGGTTGCCACAGCCCCGATCTGCTGCTCTGTGCCGCCCGTCTGCAGAGGCCCCAAGTCTATAAAAGCAGAACCAATAGTATTTATATTTCTACACCACTTAATAGTGCTTAGTACTATTGCCCCCAACAAGGTGGGTACTCATTTTACTGACCTACGAAAGGATGGAAGGCTGAATCAGCCTTAGAGCCCTAGGATCGAACTCACAACCTTGTGGCTGCAGGACTGGCATTTAACCACTGTACCACCAGGGTTATGCAACACTAGAACATCTTTTGCTCGGTTAGTGCCTCTGCAGACCGACCTAAAGGACCGGCTTGGAGGTAGAGTTCGGGCGGGGCAGCCACATGCCGGCTGCCCCAACCCCACGCCGATGCCGTCCTGATGCCACGCACCGTTACGCACGGTGTGCAGCATCAGGACACCCTTCCGGCACAGTGTTCAAACACGCTGCGCCAAAAAGGGCACTGAAGAGCCGCACGCTGGCTCTTAGGGCGGCCTTTTGCTACACCTAAAAGGAACGGCCTTTTGCCGCTCTTTTTGGGGTGGCAAAAGGGAGGATTGGGGCCATGGTGTGGGGTTGCTACAGCCTGATCCGCCGCTTCCCGGGGTGGCTCAGAGCTGCCCATCTGCAAAGGCCCTTAGTCTCAAAGGTACTATGAGATCCGTCAGGGGTAGGCAACCTTTCCCCTTTAAGGGCCGAGGGACTTCAGCTCCCAGAAGCCTCAGCCATGTTGGCCAATAGTCCCATGTTGGCCAATAGCTCCTGGGATTCTGGGAGCTGAAGTCCCTCGGCCCTTAAAGGGGAAAGGTTGCCTACAGAAGGAGACACCGGTAGACCACTTCTGAATATCTTTTACCACAAAAGCCCTATGATGAGACAATCCAAAATGAAACGAGATATTGCCTGAAGATGAGATTACATAGTAGGAACAAGAAGAGAGGATGACCACATTGCAGGTAGATTGATTCAGGACCTGAGTTTGCAAGACCTAAGCAGGGCAGTTGATGACTGGGAGGGATTCTTTGAGCTTCCCCATTTATAGGTTCACTGTAAATCAAAATTGACTTGATGGCAAACAACAAGAAACCCATTCGAGGTGTTGAACCTACTTGTGGGATATCTCTTTAAAGTTCATACTAAAATCTGGAGCAGTTTCCTATTCCCATTAACAAGGAAGCTGCCAGCAGCCTCTGGCCTTTTTATGAAAACAACATCCTGTGTTTTCGTGCAGATCACTTTCCCTGAGTTTGCAACCTCTTTGTAACAAGAATCCTGTATACACCAGGGCTTGAGGTCAATGCATCATAAGAAGCCTACTTATCTGTGGCCAGTAACTCATTTTGTACATGGTAACAATGATGTGTGGAGGCTAAATGCTCTAAAGGCACCAGATCCCATCTGATCTTGGAAGCTATGAAGGTTCAGTCCTGGTTAGTACCTGGATGGGAGACAGACAATGAATACCAGGTTCTGTAGGCTACGTTTCAGAGGAAGGAGCTGGCAAAACCACCTCTGAGGATTCCTTACCTAAGAAAACCCTATAAAATTCATGGGGTTGCCAGAATTTGCCCTGTGACCTGAAGGCGTGCGCGCACACACACACACACACACACACACACACACACACACACACTCCTATGGTGTAACCCAGTGCTCCCCAACCTTTTTATTGCTGTGGACCGGTCAACATTTGATAATTTTTCCGCGGCCCACTGGGGGGGGGGGGTTGCAGCGTCGCATTGATTATTAAATCAAAAGGGCCGTCACTCATCATTCACTAAAGCTGCGCATAGAAGCCCCCCCCCCACGCTGATCAGCTGGGCCGGGGCACGTCGGCAGACGCAGGAGTCCCGTCCCTGCGCTTATTATCGGGACTCGCAGGACTCGCAAAAGTCGCAGGACCCGCCGCCGCCGCTGCACAGAAGACACAGTAGCAGGGCGGCCCGGTACCATTTGTTCTGTGGACCGGTACCAGGCCGTGGACCGGGGATTGGGGACCACTGGTGTAACCAATTTCAAAACTAATGCAATGAGTGAGAAAAACATTATTAGTGTAACAATGGTGTTTCCTATTTTCAGAAGTTAAGGGCATTTTAAATACTAAGACACATTGCCAAGTATTTATCTTAAATGCTATGCCAAGTTTTATCTTAGAGTAGTTTTCTCTTTTTGGTAAAAAAAAAAAAAATAGCAATGAGAAAGCGATGAACAATGTCATGAATAATGTAGTGAGTTACTTTTTAAACATTCTGATGCCAATTAATTACTTCTAATTTCCAATGACTAATTGGAAAAAAATTGGTTTTGAGAACATAGAATGATAGAGATGGAAGGGATGCAAGTGCCATCGAATCCTGCCATGCATGACTTTTTAAAAACAACTTTCAAGTTCTGGAATATACTGCCTTCCCCCTCCTCTCAAGTAAAGGTTTATACCAATTTCTCTGTGTTTGTAACAAAGCACAGATATACGGTATTGACATTCTATATAAAGCCCCCCCTTTTTTTTTGAAAAAGAAAAATCAGATTGCATACCGCAACCTCAGTACTAAAGAACACTTGGATTGCTGTCATTACCGCTCTTAGAATTGGTTTGCTGCAGGTTCTTTATTGAGAACAAAGCGCCAAATTCTTCACTAAGAGTTGTGGAGCGATTGTAATATTCCTGATATATGTGGAAGTTATTACTCAGTTATCATGGGGAACCTTGATCCCTTTTCTGAAAGCAGTGCTTTTGTTGTGGACAAATTGCATTTCCTCCCCAGCTGAAATAGGGTATTATTATCTGAACAAGTGGTCTCCTGACCTTCTTAACAGCAATAAAAAAAGAAAAGAAAAGAAAAGCAATGAACCTTGGCAACTGCAACTTCATGTCTTGCAGGAATGCTCTTGACCATTGCAGCTCTTTCTCTTTCTCCCCCCCCCCCCATTGTGGGATGGTACAATTGTGGACAGTGGGCATTCACCTTCCTATTTGCATTATGATGACAAATATGTTTCTTTTCTCTCTTTCTTTTAAAAAAGAACTGGATTGATTTGCAGATGACACCAAATTAGGAGGAGTAGCTAATACCCCAGAGAAAAGGATCAACATTCAAAATGACCTGAATAGATTAGAAAGCTGGGGCAAAACTAACAAAATGAATTTCAACAAAGAGATGTAAGGTACTGCATTTAGGCAGTAAAAAAATTGAAATGCATAGATATAGGATGGGGGACACCTGGCTTAATAAGACTACATGTGAAAAGGATCTAGGAGTCCTAGTAGATAACAAGTTGAACATGAGTCAACCGTGTGATGCAGCAGCTAAACAGACCAATGTGATTCTAGGCTGCATCAATAGAAGTATAGTGTCTAAATCAAGGGAAGTCACAGTGCCATTCTATTCTGCTTTGGTCATTTGATTTGTTTGATATTTGATTTTTTAATTTTTTCCTCTATATGGTAATTTGTTTATCTATTTATTTTATTTCTTAGAGTGTACGCCGTGGGCAGGCTTTTTTATATTTGTAACTTTTTTACTTTGTACAGCACTGTGTATAATTACAGCGCTCTAGAAATAAAGTTTAATAATAATAAATAATGGTCAGGCCCCACCTGGAATAATCCTGTGTCCAGTTCTGGGCACCACAATTCAAAAAGGATGTGGAGAAACTGGAGCGTGTCCAGAGGAGGGCCACTAAAATGGTGAAGGGTCTGGAAACCATGCCCTATGAGGAGAGAATTAGAGAGTTGTGTATGTTTAGCCTGGAAAAGAGACGGTTAAGAGATGATATGATAGTGCTGTTTAAGTATTTGAAGGGATGTCATATTGAGGACGGAGCAAGGTAATTTTCTGCTGCTCCAGAGAATAGGACACAGTACAATGGATTCAAATTAGAGGAAAAGAGATTCCACCTCAACATTAGGGAGAATGTCCTGACAGTAAGGGCTGTTCAACAGTGGAACACTTTCCCTTGGAGTGTGATGGAGTCTCCTTTTTTGGAGGTTTTTAAATGGAGGCTGGATGGCCATCTGTCTGGGTGCTTTGATTTTGTGTTCCTACATGGCAGGGGAACTTTCTTCTGGATGGTCCTTGGGGTCTCTTCCAACTCTGTGATTCTGTGATTCCATGAACAGTCTTCTGACCCATGAGCTGGAATAGACTGCCTTGGAGGGTCGTGGAATCTCCTTCCCTTATGAGTTTCCATGGCTGAGTGGGGATTTGAGCCATGGTCAAAATAATGACTATGGAAAGTCTATATGAATTCATCATAGATGTTGAAGAAGGTGAAATAGTCAAGATTTCCCATACCTTGGATCAAACATTGATCAGAATGGAGATGGCCTGCAGGCCAAGTCCGGCCCGCCGAGGCCCGCCGACTGGCCCCTGCCCGGTCCTGCCGCTG